GATCAAGAAAACCTTGCCACTGGGTTCCACAGGACACCTACTACACAAAGTCACACTACCAAGACTTGGATTCTAATACAAAGAAACAAACACACAGAGGCAGCCAAAATGCAAAGAAACATGCCCCGAATTTAAGAACAGGAGACACATCCAGAAAAAATGCTAAATGAAGTGAAGGCAAGCAATATACCAGATACAGGGTGTTTAAAAAAAAAATGGTTGTAAGGATGTTAATAGAAGTTAGGCGAAGAATGGATGAAATCAGTGGGAAATTGAAAACTGGTAGTAGGCATGAAAAAGAACATTTAAGCCATATAAAAGATCCAGTCAGAAATAAAGAGTACAACCTCTGCAATGAAGAATACACTAGAGGAAATAAATAGTTGGATGAAGCAGAGAATCAAATTAGTGATTTGGAAGAGAAGGTCACAAAAGACAAAAGCAGAAAAAAGAAAAAAAATTATTTTTAAAAATGAGGACTGTTTAGGGGACTTTTGGGACAACATGAAGCATAACATCTACATTATAGGAGTACAAGAAGGAGAAAAGAAAGATTAAGGGACTACAGCCTATTAAAAGAAATAATGACCGAACACTTCCCTAACCTAGGAAAAGACACAAGTACAGGAAGTGCAGAGTCCCAAAAGAGATGAACTCAAAAAAACACGACACCAAGACACATCATAATTAAAATGACAAAGATTAAAGACAGGACATCTTAAAAGCAACAAGATAAAGACAGTCAGTTACCTACAAGGGAGTCCCATAAGATTGTTAGCTTGTTTCTCTGCAGAAACATACGAGGCCATAGGGGTTGGCACAAAATATTCTAAGTAATGAAAAGCTAGGACCTTCAACTAAGACTACTTTACCCAGCAAGGCTGTCATTTAAAATTGATGGAGAAATAAAGAGCTTCACAGACAAGAAACAGCAAAGAAGTGTGTTACCACCAAACCATTAGTATAAGAATTATCAAGAAGGAATAAAAGGGAAACAGAGTTAAAAGAATAAAACATATCTATGAATAATCACTTTAAATGTAAGTGGCTTAACTGCTGCAATTAAAAGACATAATAGCTGAATCGATAAGAAAACAAGAACCATGTATATGCAGTCAACAAGAGACCTACCTCAGAATGAAAGATATACAGACAAAAAGCAAGGAGATGGCAAAAGATATTTTATGCAAATACAAACGAAAAAAAAGCTGAGGAGGTAATACCTATAGCTGACAAAATAGACTTTAAAACAAAGGCTATATTGAGCAATAAGGAAGGACACCACATAATGATAAAGGGAGCAATCCAACAAGAGGATATAACCCTTGCAAACATGTATTTCCTCAACATAAGAGCACCTAAATGTGTAAATCAAGTCCTGATGTACATAAATGGAGAGTTCAACAATAATATACTCATAGTAGGGCATTTTAACACCACCTTGGCATCAATGGCTGGATTTTCCACACAGAAAATAAAGAAGGAAAGAGAAGCCTTAAATAACACACTAGATCAAATGGATTTAATTTGTATCTTCAGAGCATTTCACCCAGAAGCAGTAGAATATACATTCTTTTTAAGTGGACGTACAACATGTTTTAGGATACACCACATGTTAGGGCACAAAAACCAGTCTCAGTAAATTTAAGAAGAATGAAATCATATAAGGAATCTTTTCTGACCATAACTGTATACAACTGGAAGTCACTGAGAAAAAACTGATATACAGGTGATCTATTACTGAATTGTACACACCTAAAACCACCATGCCCCAATAAATTTATTAACAGAGAAATAAAAGCAATGAAAAGCAAAAAAATAAAATAAAAATCTGGAGATACATAGTGGTGAGAATTGCATGTCAATATACGTAATGTATACTTAACTGTGGTTAAAACTCTAAATCTTATATTTATTTGACCACACTAAAAATTAATAATATAGGATTTAAAAAAACAGAAAAAGAAAAAGATAAATCTGCAAAACATAGAAAGTCTTGGAGGCTAATTAACATGTTACTAAACAATGAATGGTTAACAATGAGATCAAAGACATAATCAAATGATACCTTGAAACACATGGAAATGAGAGCACAACAATCCTAACTCTATGGAACAAGCATAAGCAGTCCTAAGAGGGAAATTCATAACATTACAGGCCTACCTCAAGAAACAAGAAAAATCTGAAATACATCATCTAACTTTACACTTAGAGGAACTAGTGCAAAAAAAAAACAAACACAAAGACACCACAAAGTGAGAATAATAAAGGAAATAATAAAGATCAGAGCAGAAATAAACAAAACAGTAAAAAACAAACAAGAGATCAATGAAGCACAGGCCATGTGTGTCAGTGGTTAGAGCTATGGTCCACGCACCAAAGGATCATGGGGTCGATTCCCAGTCAAGGGCACGTACCTGGGTTGCAGGTTCATCCCTGCCCCCTGTTGAGGTGTGTGTGTGAGAGAGACAACCATTTGATCTGTGTGTCTCACATTGATGTATGTCTCCCTCTCTCTCTCTCTCTCCCCTTCCTCCCTCCCTCCTTCCCTCTTCTCTAAAAAAAAAAAAATCATTGGAAAATATATCCTTGGTGAGGATTAAAAGAAAAAACAACTTCTCAACAAACGCAGGTGTTGGACTGGATGGCTTCACAGTGTATTTCATCAAACATTCAGAGAAGAACTAATATCTGTTCTCCTCAAACTCATCCAAAACACTCAAGACAAGGGAAGATATCCAAGCTCATTTTATGAGTCCAGCATTATCCTAATCCCCAAACCAGAATAAGACTTTACAAAGAAAGAAAATTATAGGCCAATATCCCTGATGAACATAGATGCTAAAATCCTCCACAAAATATTGGCAAACTGGATCCAGTAATACATTAAAAAGATTACACACCATGATGAAGTGGGATTTATTCCGGGGATGCACATAAAAAACATGATACAGCATAAACAAAATAAAGAATAAAAATCACATGGTTATAACAATAGATGCAGAAAGAGCATTCAACAAAACACCTATTCATTATAACAACTTTCAGCAAAATGTGAATAGAGGGAATACACCTCAACATAATAAACATCATGTAGAAAGAAAGAATGAAAGAAAGAAGAAAATGAAAGAAAGGAAGGAAGGAAGGAAGAAGTTGCAGAAGATACAAATAAGTAAAAGCATATATAGTGTTCAAAGATAGGAAGAATTACCAACATTAAAATGTCCAATGACGTATTTCAGAGAGCTACAACAAACACATACACACACACACACACAAAACAAAACAAAATAAAAACCAAACCAATAGCCACAGTGATCTTGAGAAAGAACAACAAAGTTGGAGGAATCATGCTACCTGATAACAAACTATACTACAAGGCCATAGTAATAAATATAGCAGGGTACTGGCATAAAACAGACATATAGATCATTGGAACAGAATAAAAAGCCCAGAAATAAACCCATACATTTATGGTCAATTAATATTTGACAAAGGACACAAGAACATACAATGTGGTAAAGATAGTCCACTCAATAAATGCTACTGGGAAAATTGGACAGATATGTAGAAAAATAAATGAATGCAGACTACCTTCTTATACCATATTGAAGAATAAACCCAGAATGGATTAAAGACTTGAAAGTGAGATTTGAAACCATAAAAATTCTAGAAGAAAATAAAAGCAATAAATTTTCATAGCAATATTTTTTATTCTGATATATCTAGTTGGGTAAGGGAAGCAAAAGAAAAACTAAACAAATGGGACTACATCAAACTAAAAAGTTATTGCACAGCAAAGGAAACCATCAACAAAATGAAAAGATACCCACTGAATGGGAGAACATATTTGCCAAGGATACATCTGATAAGGGCTTAATATACAAAATTTATGAAGAAGTTATAAAACTCAACATCATAAAAAAATTAAACAATCCAATTTAAAAATGAGCAAAGAACCTAAATAGACACTTCTCTAATGAGGACCTGCAGATGACCATTACACAAATAAAAAGATGCTGAGCATCACTAATCGTCACAGAAATAGAAATTAAAATCACAGTGAGGTATCACCTCACATCTGACTGAATGGCTATCATCAATAAATCAATAAACATCAAGTGCTGGTGAATATGTGGAGAAAAGGGAACTCTCGTGTACTCCTGGTAAGAATGCAGATTGGTGCAACCACTGTGGAAAGCAGTATGGAGTTCCCTCAAAAATTAAAAATAGAACTGCTTTATGACCTAACATTTCCACTTCTGAGAATATATCTGCAGAAACCTGAAACACTGATCGGAAAGGATATATGCAATGCTATGTTCACTGCAGCATTATTTACAATAGTGAAGATTTCACAGCAGCCCAAGGGCCCAGCAGCAGATGAGTGGAGAAAAAGCTGTGGTACATTAACACAACAGAATACTACTCACCCACACACAGAGAAAGAAAATGAAGGAAATCTTACCTTTTCCAACAGCGTGGACGGAGCTGGTGAGTATTATGCTAAGTGAAGTGAAGTAAGCCAGTCAGAGAAATACAAGTTCCTTATGGTTTCACTTATATGTGGAATCTAATGAACAAAATAAACTACAATCAAAATAGAAACAGGCTCATAGATATAGAAAACTGACTGACAGCTGTCAGAGGGGAGGGAGGTTGGGGGACTAGGTGAAAAAGGTGAAGGGATTAAGCAAAGAAAAAAACTCATAGACACAGACAGCAGTTTGGTGATTATCAGGGGGAAAGGGGTGTGGTTAGAAGAGGATTTAGAAAGGATAAATTGTGATGGAAGGAGACCTGACCTGGGGGCAGGGGGGAGGATGGTGAGACACATAAATCAACATACAGATGATGTATTATAGAACTGTATACCTGAAAGCTACATGATTTCATTACCAATCTCACCCCAATAAATTTAATTTACAAAAATAGGACATTATGACACATGCTACAACCTGGATGGACCCTGAAGACATGATGCTCAGTGAAACAAGCCAGTCACAAAAGGACAAATATTGTGTGATTCCACTCACCTGAGGTCCCAAGAGCTGTCAGAGTCATAGAGACAGAGGTAAGAGGGAGGGGACCAGGGATGGGGGAGTGGATGCAGAGTTGTTGTTTAGTGGGGACAAAGCTTCAGTTGGAGAAGATGAGAACAGTGATGGAGATGATGGTGGTGACGGCAGCACAACAATATGAATGTACTTAACACTACTGGACTGTGCCCTGAAAAATAGTTAAAATGGTAAATTTCATTGTGTATATTTTACTGTGATAAAGATATACCAAAAAAAAAAAAAATAGAAGGCACTGTCCTGGGTGCGGGAGAATTGGGTAGAGCTGTTCTCCATCTGCCCTACATGGGTGGTTGGGTCACTGTCAAAATCCTGGTTGTGAGATTTTTATAAGATATTATTGAGAGAAACCGGGTCAGATTACATGGGCCACCTCTGCATTATCTCTTACAAATAATGTCAATCTACAATTATATTTTTTAAAGGTTAAAAAATAAAAGGGGTGGCCCAGATTTGGTTGTCTTGCCCCAGAGAATCTGGTCCAAGCAGGTCCAGTTGGGGTCTGGGCTGAGTATAAGGAATTGCCCACGGGCACTGGTAGTCAGTGGGATTGAGGGCCACCATCCAGACCAGTGACCTCCACAGCTATGTTCTCATCCCGTCACGGAGCTTCCACAGCCTTTAATACAGCTGCTGTGTCTCAGCCACTGCTAATGCGATCGCTCCGGAGAACAGCTCCTTCACTGTACCACCTGGTTTCTTAAAGGAGCTTCAAACCTTTTAACCATCTCACAAAACACAACAGAGGCAGCACAGTCCTCCCACAGTGACCCTCTGCTTCATTAAACCACATCCACCAAGTGACAAGGATGGGCCTTTTGTGCCATTCCAGGAACGCTGGGCCAGGGTCCCATCGACAGAGCAGATCCACTTCTCGGTGTCTTGGTTGGGTCCTGGGCCCAGGGCCCAGGAGTGACGCTACCCAAGAACAAGGATGAAGGAAGGGAGCATTGTTGTTGCAAGCACGTGCCTTTTAATCATCTACAGGTCTCAACTGCAGAAAAGATACTTATGCTCTGTTAAAGGTCAGAAAGGATAAATAATTTTTGTCTGTGTACTCAGCAGAGTGGTGCTCAAAATTAAGGTAAAAATAATACCTTGTCTTCATATGCTCTCTCCTTCCAGAGATGGCTCCAATTTGCCTGTCAACTTGACTGCGAGATGGAAGAAGTAATGCTGGTGGGTGAAATCAACACAAAATCCTCACCTGAGGATATTTTTCCATTGATTTTTAAAGAGAGTGGAAGGAGGGGGAGAGACAGAGAGAAACATCAATGTGAGAGAGACACCCTATTGGTTGCCTCCCACATGTGCCCTGACCGGGGCTGGGGTTTGAGCCTGCAACTGAGGTACATGCCTTTGACCTGCATTGAACTTGGGACCCTTCAGTCCGCAGGCCAATGCTCTTTCCACTGAGCCAAACTGGCCACGTGTGGGCGCGCACGTACAGTGCGATTGAAACTTCGTGGCCCATGTGCAGAAGTCGGTATTTTGTGGAAGAGCCACACTCAAGGGGCCAAAGAGCCGCATGTGGCTTGCGAGCCGCAGTTTGCTGACCACTGGTTTAAAAGAAGATGAGAGACGGAGTGTCACTCATCAAAGGTCCGACACCTTACTCTGTGGTCCAGTCAGGGAGGTTCTAATTGTCCATCAAAGACTGTATCATTAGGGTAATAATGTGGGCAGTCATGAAGAACTTTTCAGTGTCTGAACCCAATAAAATCTTGCTCCTTGTGGTCCATGATGTGGGCCAGGGAGCCACCAAAGCTCGTCCTCTCCACACAGTGACTCAGGGCTCCAGGGCTCCTCTAGCTTGTGGATTCAGCTGGCAATGAGCACAGACCAATGGTGTAGAGGTCGGACAGAGGAGTGGCCTGGGAGGAGCCACTCATGGTTGTCCTTGCCTCTGGCCAGACCTGACTCACTTGGTGAGAGAGGCTCAGAAATGCAGAACAGCACAAACTCCTTGCATCTTGGCACATATGACAGCACATTCACTCTCTTGTTCCTGTACCTGTGCAGCCAGCCAACTCAGTCACCTTCAGAAAGAACATCCAGAGAGAATAATAAAATAAAAGTACCTCATGCCAATCCACATAGCACTTCAAAGTACTAAGAGTAAAAAAACTCACTGTCCATGCATTTCTACAGAAAGGTTACTTGCTGTCCAGACCCATTTTCTTCCTTCCTTTTCTTCTTCTCAAAAGAACCGAACATATCATTCTGGAGCCACCGAGATGGAGCAGGTCAATGGCTAGCTGTCCACCCAATGACAACAACCATGGTCTCAGAGAGAATAGTAACTGCGGACTCCAGAGAGAGCAGCAGTGGGCTGAGTGGGGAGAGAAGTGAGAACTTGACAAGTGACCAGCATGGTGGTGAGCTGATTTGTCTTGAAGGCAGTGAGTCTTAGCCCTGCTCTGTGAGCAGGACGGGAATGACTCAGAGAGGACTGGACCGGGGGCCTGTTGGAGCCAGAGTGGGGGCTGCCCTGGATCCTCCCCTCTTCTTTCCTGGCCTGGCTCTAAAGCCATGGCCTGGGCATAGCCCTTCAAATGTGAGGAAAAACCCATCTCTGGCGAGAACCTGGGAAAATGGGGCCCTGGACTCCAAAGTATTGGGGGGACTCCTGCTTATTTTTCTTATTTTTCTCTTGCCAGTTTTCCCCGAAAACTATCCTGTTATATGAAGCTTCCACACAGCTCATGGCGGGAGAGGAGTCTAAGATTCTGAGAGAACCAGAGCTTCTAGCAGAAGGACCGGGAAGGTGGCTGAGATCCAGGGGTAGAGGAGCTATGGGTGAGCTGGACCCTCACAGAGCACACCCCAGAGGCCAGCATAGGCTCTGCGCACACTGATGCTGAGGTCACCCCCAGAGCTTCCTAGACACAAGTGAGGTCTGAACTTTATAGGCCCCACAGCCTTACAGTGTGGGCTCTCACCTCTGCCACTCAGTGGTGGGAAGACAGACTGTGGAGCTTGTCCAGTAGGGGCAGCACATCCATCCCCAGCCTCATGTGAAGTCTGGAGGGAGAACGGAACTGCATGTGAATAGGCACAAGGGTCAAGTGCAAGAGGCCAGGGCAGTAGAGCCCCAGCTGCAGACCCACCACACCCTGCACTTTAGTTCCAAGTACAGCTCTTTTTTACAATAGTAAGAATTGTAGGTTTGACTTTGAAGAAAAAAACCTCAAATTACATTAGAGATTTCAATTTTTGGTTTGTCACATGTTCAATGGATGTTAGCTGAACCCAATGTGGTAATCATTTCACAGTGTAGGTAAATCAAACCATCGTGCTGTCTGCCTTAAACTTATACAGTGGTGTATATCAATTATTTCTCAATAAAGCTGGGAAAAATAAACAGTGCCTTAATAAATGGGGAAAAAAGTGGTTATAGATGCAGTGAAATGCATACACAATAACTAAAGAAAACAAATCAAAATACACACATAACAAATAGTATCATCTTGCCCTGGAGGCACGCTCAGTGGTTGAGCATTGATGTATGAACCAGGAGGTCATGCATAGAGTCCCTGTCAGGGCACATACCCTGATTGTGGGCTCCAACCCCAGTAGGAGGTGTGTAGGATGCAGCTAATGAATGATTCTTTCTCATCATTGATGTTATTATTTCTCTCTCCCTCTCCCTTCCTCTCTGAAATCAATAGAAACTATATTTAAATAAATAAATAGTATCACCTCAAAAAGGTATTTGGATATATAAATTTACCTAAGACAAACGGAAATACTTTGAAATGTTGACAGTGGTTAACCTTGGATAATGGAGAGAAGTGGTTTCTTTTACCTCATATATTTCTTGTAAATTTCTACTAATGATCCTGTATTATTTTGATAATGAGAACAAATCTTCTAAAAAACATTTAAATAACTATTTTTGGTTTAAAATGCATTTTGCATCCATGTTCAGTGACCATCCACTTATCTTTGAGAAACTTAAAAAGTGCTTTGGGTGTGAAATATCCTTTAAACTGCATTCTTGCACTCTAACAGCTCCTGAATGAGAACACTTGGCTTTGGAGATGCTGGGTCTGCTTGGAAAAAATAATGGGGCAGGGGCTGGGGCGCAGTAGGGGATGGGGCAGATCAGGAACCCTGAAGAGAGGCTCCTAGGCAGGATGCCTCAGTATCCACAGCACAGGCTGTATTTGAAGAATTCCTCATTGGAAGGCTGATTCAGATTTGATAAATTTTAGACATGAGCCATAGCTAATTTTCTTTTAAAATGGTTTTTGCTGTTCTTATTGCAAATCTATATATATAAAAAGCTAATATGCTTAATGTCCAACCGTCTGACCAGTCGCTATGACGCGCACTGACCACCAGGGGGAGATGCTCAATGCTGGAACTGCCGTGACGTGAACTGGCAATTTACAGAAAACCTGGAACCCACAAGTAACACTCAGCTTCCCCCAAGTGGGACACAGGCCCTGCCACCACCGTGAAGCGACACCCCACCAAATAGCAGCCAACACTGCCGAGACCCCATGGCGCAAAGCCCACAGCCCAGCCCAGCACAGAAATGATGGCTGTGGGCGCCAGGTAATGATGTCACATAGGGACACCTGGCTTCCTCTCCCTAGCGACTAGCCTCCTTGGAGTTTCTTCATCCCACTTGCTTTATAGCCAAGTGCAAACATTTTACAGTTTAACCAAATGTCTGTGAAACGTTTTCATGTGCCTCATCTCATTTCATCCTCACAGAAGTCCTGGAGTAGGTAGATAGGAGACTCGGTAGAATCCTATTTTCTTTAAATTAGCCGGAAAATGGAGATTTAGAATGTTTAGAAACTTGGCCCAGCTGAAAAGAAATAAGAAATGGTAGAACTTGAAAATGACTCCAGGTTTTCTCACTACACAGAATATAGTCAAACAGTGCTACAGTTAAATATTTCACCCTTTGTTCTCCCTGTATGATCTACAATAATAATCTGCTTCGTATTGATATCTACTGCTGTGGGTCACAAGGCAGGTAAGATCCAAATCAGACCATTGCTGATGGAGCACAAGGAGACAAATGCCATTTCTCATGCTGTGACCCCTGCTGCCTCAAGCCCTCTACAGTGGGGCCTTGACTTATGAGTTTAATTCGTTCCGAGCTCGTTAAGGAGCTCGTTAACTCAAATTACTCTGTCAACTCAAAGCAAAAAATCGGCAGAGAGACAGCTGGTATCTCAAAAAACTCGTTAGTCGGGACACTCGTAAGTCAAGGCCCCACTGTATATATAAAGCTCTCAGTGGTGCCAGTCATACCCATGTGTTTCAATCTGTCATTGTTGATCATGAGTTTGGTTGACTGTGATCAGAATGCATACTCTGATTTCAGGCCTTTGAAACAGCGATGGTCTATAATTGTAAATGTTTCCTGTGCACTTAAAGTGAACTAGTGCTCTCCATCTGTGGGGTGTGATTCTCTAAAAGTGTCAGGTCCAGTTGCTGAGAGCTAGTCTAAATCTCCTACACTCCACTGTTTTCTGCTTGTTGTTTTGAGATCAATCACCCTTTCAAGGTAGGATTTGGCAAATGCCTTGAGGGGAGATTGCAGGCAGATGTGGTGGCTACTTCCCTGTGGTTTCTGCCTCTCTGAGGTTCTGTTCCTCAAATGCCCAGCTGCTTGGGCACCTTGAATTTCAAACTCTGTTTCATCCTTTGTCCCATGGAATGACCACTTCCTACTTGAACTTCATTCCTATGTGGCTCTTCACTATAATCATGATCACCATACTTGGACATGATGAATGGCCAATAAATGTTATTATTCCTTTTTAATAATTGGCCTCTCCCCTCCATGGAGAGTTCCCTGTTCCCTCTCCTCCATGCCCTGTCCCCTCCATGTAGGGTTCTGTCTCCTCCCTGCCCTTCTCCCTTAAAGTGGGCTTCCCTTTCCCCACTGCCTGCCCCCTCAAAGTGAGGTTCCCTGTCCCCCTGCCAGCCCCCTCCATGGAGGGTACCTTCTCCTCCCTGCCCCTCCCCCTCAAAGTTGGGATCCCTGTCCCCCTGCCCTGCCTCCTCCATGGATAATACTGACTCCTCTCTGCCCTGCTCTCTCAAAGTGGGGTTCCCTGTCCTCCTGCCCTCCCCCTGCATGGAGGGTTTCCTATCCTCACTATCCGGTCCTTCCCAGTGGGGTTCCCTGTCCCCCAGCTCTGACCCCTCTATGAAAGATTCCCTGTCCACACTGTCCTGCCCCCTGCCTGGAGGGTCCCTTCTCCTAGACACACAATGTCAGGGCCTGGAATAAGCTCTGCCCCTGTCCATTCCCTTCCCTCAGCTCTCCTCTCCACCCTCCCCCGCTCCCCCCCTCAACACACACACACACACACACACACACACACACATATACACACACACCCTGTTTGACCAGGTAGTTAACTTTCTGGGGACTACAGATCTGTCTTGTCCCCTGGCTTGAGACAAGTCCTGGAGAAGCAGGACCCCTCACTGCCTGGCTTAATAGACAGGGGGGCCTGCTGGGGTCTGGCTGGAACTCTGTCCCCAGCTGCCTCCTGTCAGTACAGCAGCCAGCACTCATCCAGGTCCAGGGAGCACACGCAACCTGCACCCGAATGACAGGGGACCAGCTGCCCACAGGGAAGGAGCCCACACTGGGGCTCTTGGTCCGAGGTGGCGGCTTGATGGAGCCTCTCCACTCTCCTGCTTTCTCCCATTACCCAGGGCTCGCCAAGTTCCAATCCTTTGGGAAAGTGACTCCTTGGCTGCCCCCACAGAGCAAGGCCCAGGGAAACCCCAATCCTCCAAGTGTTTTTAAATACCTGACAAGCCCAAGTTCACCCTTGGAATGAACCCTTCACGCCCACCACAGCCACCACCACGTGGGACACTCCAGGCCGGGCCCCTGGGAAGTGCCAGATAGGCTGGAACCCGCACTCAGTTGCGAGGGGAGGGGGCGGAGAGAGGAGGTTTAACAGGGCTTTTAGGCAGGAGGCGCTGGGCGGGTGAGCAGGAGGGCACTCACCTTGGTGACATTGAGGAAGGTGGTCTGGCCCAGCACTGCCCCTCACCAGCTTCAGCTCCAGTTCCTCCCTCAGATTAGCAAGAGGATCCAGGCCACACGCGGGAGAGGAGCGCCTGCAGGATGGTGGCCTGGATTCCAGGCTGATGCACTTGGTCTGGCAGCGGGGCGGCATCCACACCAGCACGCCTCGGCCTCCAAAGGCTCCTCTGCCCGCGGGACCCTGGCGGACTCGGGCGAGGCAGCGGCGCGAGCCAGGAAGCCCAGAGGGTCCTGTGACTCGAAGTCCCTCCAGGCTAGTCCCCCTCACCCATGTGGACGCCTGTGGCCAGATCTGCCAGGCTGGCCTGCCAGGCTGGCCTGCCAGGCGCATTTGCCGCTGCAGCGCCACCTGGTGGGGCCTCTGCGCAGTACCAGGAGGCCACCCTGGGCTCCTTGCTGCCATCCTCCTTTGCTCAGTAGTGTGGGTTAACTCATCCACTCAGCATTGCTTACTGACAGTCTGTCCCTGCAGAATAATTTCAACACAGGACACTTCTGCGTTTTGACCAAGTCAGTGTCGAGAGCCAGAATTTTTCGTGAGGTCACTGGTTTGGTCATCATGATGTAGAATATCTGATCTTTTGACTTTTGACTTATTTTATTAAATGTTTTCTATTAAAGAAGGATATAATTTTTTGTAGATGTTAGAAAGGAGGGTATGTCATTATATTATGTGTATACCAGGTGTCAGCAATTTATAGTCAGTGGGTGAAATCTGGCCTATTGCCTGTTTATATATGTCCCATGAGATAACAATAATTTTTATTCACTTTTTTAAAGTTAGAAAACAATGAAAAGAATATTTTTGATACATAAACATAATATGAAATTAACATTTTGGTGTCCATAATTAATGTTTGGTGTCCATAATTACTGTTTGACTGGAAGGCAGACATGTACATTCATTTACATATTGTCTTTGGCTACTTTCATGTTACAATGGCAAATGTAGTAGTTATGACCAAGATGGTATTGTCTACAGAGCCCAAACCATTTACTACCAAAGCCTTTACACAGGAAGTTTGCAGACCCTTGTCCTTCACAGAGTAGATGAAGGCCATGTGCGTTATTATTAGCTCTGTATTTGGATTTCAAATGATTTTAAATGTCACATATTGCACATTTTAAAATCAACAAAATATGCCTAGCTAGTGTTGCTCAGTGGTTGAGCATCAACCAATGAACCAGGAAGTCACAGTGCTCTGAAACCCAGTCATTTGCCTGGGTTGCAGGCTCAATCCCCAGTGTGAGGTGTGCAGGAGGCAGTGGATCAATGATTCTCTCTCATCATTGATGTTTCTCTCTCTCTATCTCCCTTCCTCTCTGAAGTAAAAAATATTTTAAAAATAATAATAAATAAAATCAACAAAATATGGTAAATATTCACCAGTAAAGAAATACATACGTAGTTCTGAAATACTTACATGAATAAATATTACAGGGCAGTTAAAATCAATAAAGAACTATTTGTCTCAAAGTAGATAGATTTTAAAATTTATGATAATATAAACAAAAAAGTTCCAGAATATTACATAAAATATACCTGTATATAAATCCAGAAAGAACTAATACCACATATGGTTGATTGATATATATCTATAATAATAAGAGCATAATATGCTAATTAGACTGAACATCCTTCCAGACGACCTTCCGGACGAAGCCAGGGCTGTGAGGGAAGCCCGGGTCCTGGGTGGGGAGGGGGGGTGGGTAGGAAGCCCGGATCCTGGGTCCCAGAGGGAAGCTGGTGCTGGCAGCTGGGGGAAGGAAGGTCTACTCTTGCATGAATTTCATGTATCGGTCCTCTAGTATATGTAATAAATGATTAAAAACCTAAATTAGAGGAATGATTAGAAAATTTATAATGGAAATATAAAGAGAGAAATTGGACTGAAAAATTATACAGAGTATTACTGTATTGTATTATTTCTTTATTATTGTATTATGTTTATTTTTTATAATCCTCACCTGATGAAATGTTTATTGATTTTAGAGGGAGAGAAAGAGAGAGAGAGAGGGGCAGAGGGAGAGAGAGAAACATCTATGTGAGAGAGAATCATTGAACGCTGCCTTCTATATGTGCCATGACTGGGGATTGAACCTGCACCTTTTTGGTATATGGGACGATGCTCCAACCAACTGAGCTACCCAGCCTTAGAGTTTCATTATTTATTAAAAAATGAAAATATAAAGAAAGAGGGCAAGATATGATCACTGTTTATTCTACACTGTTTATTCTACATCTATTAAATGTTTTCTATACCACAAATATAACTTATCATAAAAAAGGAAGGCAACATGGCCATGGAAGTATTTATTTTTATTTGTTGACAAGAGAAATGTGAATGGTGTAAATGCAGATCAAATCTGCACATACCACCAAAAAATAAATAAAATTGATGGTAATCAATTGATTGGATTCTGATAACTTATCAGAGAATCACCAAATTATGACTAGCTTATCCTAAAAGAAAAATAAATAACAGCCAATAGCTTTTATAGAATACACAATAGATATATTAGTTCTTCTAATGCAACAGGGAACTGTTCCAAGGCCAATGTGAGACATTGAAATCAAATAAAAACTGAGCTTCCTTATAAAAACTTTATTGTTCCCAAAAATTACAGATCACAAGATAGTTGCTGCTCATTACTTACATATGGCTAAATAAATTCCAGTAACTAGCTATGGGATTAGCTCTCCAATGCTTGATAATTTACCTTATTTGTTTCAGGGATTTTGAGGTTTGGCCATTCTGCCTTGTTTCACAAAGTACATTGGGCCTCATTTCATTGCCCTTTTCCAATTATTTCTGCTAAGCTGAGGATGAGCCCAAAGAACTAAAGTAGCATCCTGGATATTTGGTTAACATGCCCTAAAGGTGTGTGCTTTAGGGATAAATCTCCAATAAAGTATGTTTCAAGGCCATTTCAAGGATGAACCAAACTTCCAGGAACTCTTCACATTTCACCATTCTTGGAAAAAGATATCCTTGATGCCTAAAAGTGATCATTTCCCAATTGTACTAATTCTAGGAATAACCATATGAAGCCTTATCTGCAAATAGTAATATTGTTGGACTCGGAAGATAACAAGGTCCCTCTGTTGTTTAAAAGCCTCCCTGTGTCCCAATCAAAAGAGTGACTCTATATTCTTAGTGTTTTTCTAAACATTTACTGTCCCCTGCAATTCATTTGCCCTGTGTGCTGACTGTCTTTTACCCACACCGGTCTTTAAACTTGTAGATAATTTATATAATCTACCAGATGACTCTTATGATTTATTAACATTCTGAAGTTACAAGAAAAAATACTTGCTTATACTTGTGAATACACCTTAGTTCCCAATATTTCAGAAGCAATATTCTAAAAGACCACAAGATGGGGGTATTCCTGCATACAAGCAAATGCTCAAAGTGGTGCACTGAGCTCCCAAGTTTCAAGTTCTGCTTTGTTTATGTTTGTTTGTTTGTTTGTTATTTTAATTTCTTTATTGATTAAGTTATTACATATGTGTCCTTATCCCTACATTACCCCCTCCCATCCCCCCACTCATGCCCTCACCCCCTGTTGCCTGTGTCCATTGATTAGGCCTATATGCATGCATGTAAGTCCTTTGGTTGATCTCTCCCCCTTACCCCC